TTTAGCCCGTGTGTTTCAGACTGTTGAAGGCAGGTTATTCCCATCACTTGTAACCATCAATGGGAATTCATAGTTCCAGACCAGCACGCATTTGGCCTGGTTGGCTCATCATGGAAGTAGGAGCAGCGTTGAGAGACGGGGCATGTCGTACGTCCCTCATGTATGTTCATTCTTACGTGTGATTCATATGCGCAGTTTCTACTGAACGCATAATTGTGATCATAGATGTGTGCACAGTGAAAAAAAAAAACACAGCATATCCACGGAATGAATGATGATGAGTGGGGCGAAGCGTTCATCGGTCAGTCCGTCTATGCATGCATGCATGCGTCCGTCCGTCCGTCCGTCCGTCCGTCCGTCCGTCCGTACGTACGTACGTACGTGCGTGCGTGCGTCTGTCTGTCTGTCTGTCTGTCTGTCTGTCTGTCTGTCTGTCTGTCTGTCTGTCTGTCTGTCTGTCTGTGGATATGCTGTGCTCGCTACGCCGGAGGGACGCGGAACTGCCCCAGACCATAAGGAGCTTTGCCCCTAAAAGAGCGCCCCTCCCTCTAACCCCTCAAATACCTCCTCTTTGCACTGCTATTTGATCATGAGGTTCTTAGTGTGACTCCATAATCATAAGGACCTTTGTTGACCATAGAGACCTTAGTAGAGAAATGTGGGGGGGAGGGGTTCTCTCAATCCTTTAATGAAGAACACTGAGAAAGCTTATGAATAGAGCGTTAGTACATCTCTAGAGGACGTCTTGTGAAGATGAGGAAGTTCATGCATGTTCTAGCTTCATGAGTGTTGTTCGTCTTTGTCGTGGATGCTGAATATTTAAATGAGTCCGAAGGCTAGTAAGCACTCACTAATCGCCCTTCCCCTTTCTTGTTTTGTTTCCCTCTTTACTCCGATTCTGCATGAACGCAGTCGGAAATAACCGCAAGGTTGTTCTGTAAATAACCACCACGCTGTTCTGGACTATAGTATGACTTGCTCGCGTGCCGGGATAGCCGAGGTACTTTTGACGTTCGTTTTCGGATTGTTGATACAGGAGTTGGTATGAAAGAAAATCATTTACCACCTAGAATTATTTTCTCTATGTCTTTCACTTTCTCTCTAGCTCGTTCTCTTACTCATCGAAGTTCAATCCCATAACGGAGAAATTGGCGCAGCGTGTTATGGTAGCATTACAGGAGATGAAGAAGACGATGGAGAGGAGAAAGAAAAAGGGGGCGAAGATAGCACGTGCCGGCTAATGGTGATAGCTTTTATTTGCGGACTGCCCCTGCCATGGTGGTCTGGCGGCTAAGGTACATCGGCTGCTGACCCGCAGGTCGCGGGATCAAATCCCGGCTGCGACGGCTGCACTTCCGATAGAGGCGGAAACGTTCTATGCCCGTGTGCTCAGATTTGGGTGCAGCGCTTAAGAATCCCCAGGTGGTCGAAATTTCCGGAGCCCTCCACTACGGGTGTCTCTCATAATCATATGGTGCTTTTGGGATGTTGAACCCCACATAAAAAAAGGGAATGAATTCACCAGTATAACCTCACGCTCAAAGTGGCACCACCACCGTTCCTCGTTACGAACAGCGTTGCCAACGCGCGCTTCGCGTGAGATTTCGTGAGCATCTCTCCTCTTATTGGGAGCGCACGACCTTCCTATTCACCAGGTATGAATGTACATTCACTCGGCCCTGCGCGCGACGTGGTCCTCCGCATATGTTTGCGAACTGGTACTTTCCGAGCGCCCGCATCAGGAGTCCCCTTTTATCTTTTCTTTTCACGGCCTCGTTAATGAGAGAGAGGAGACCGTTTCCGCATGGCCGTGGAAAGGAGGTGGGGCCGGCATTCAGTGGTCGCCGTCGGCGCCACGCATGAGACATTAACAGACGCAAATGAAATGATGCGCGTCCTTGCCTCCATTTTCCTCGTGTTCAGAAACACACAAAAATAAACATTCACGGTGGCCGGGGGGGGGGTTGGGGGTGAAAGAGTGGGTTCGGAGGGTAATGTCGCACGCGAAGGTTGTTCTCGGAGTTGACCTCATTCGCTTGCTCACTTTACACGTGTGTGTTGCCTGGACGGCGTCGGAGGAGGGTGCTGTTGTTGTTGTAAGACGTCGTTGTTATTGTTGTCGCTTATCTCTGGAGGGCGCTCAGGCGAGTCACTCGGTTGCCTGCCTTTGCGATGGTGCTGGCCTGCTCTTCGCTCCGGTGAGCATTGCGTAATGCGAGAGAGCCGTTCCCTTCACGTCTTCGAGTCTGCTGCGGAGGATAAGGCGAAAGAGCGAATATTCGGGGTACATGCACGCAGTGCCTAATGCGCACCACGCGTGTCATTGAGATTGCGCGATGCAGCTCGCGGGATGGCGTTTTCGGTCGCGTGCCAGCTATAGTTTGGTAGAGCATTCTTTCGGTTGCATACACAGCAACGAGTGCCATAGAAGTGGGGGAAAATGTGACCATTTCCGGACATTACAAAAAAATTGCCCGCAACTTCCCTCGGGGGAACACTGAGGAGGATGCGGACCATATAATTGGTTAACGGGGTGTTAAAGTGCGACTTACTTGGGTCGATGGCTAAATTGGTTAACGTGGTTGTGAAATGGGGTGTTAAATTGCGACTTACTTGGGTCGATGGCTAAATTGGTTAACGTGGTTGTAGGAGGGGGTGTTAAATGAGTGAACACGTACACACGTATGCGAAAGGGCGGCGCTGGTCGAAGGGACGTCGATCATTGTGTTTGTGGATTCGTTGGAATTCATTTCACCGCGACCTTGGACGTCGACGCGCCGTACAAACCAACCGACGAGCGGCAACTGAGTGAGCGAGCGCCGACCTTGAGTATATATACAGCTCGACGGCGCATGCACTGTCAGCTGTTGAATGTTCTCGAAGCGCGACGCCACATGCGCGTCCACTGGAGAATCAGGAGAATTGTAGATGTCGAACGCGGTGTGTAGAGGAGGAAGGGTGCACAGATGGTGGAGGAGTGAAGCACGCGCGGTGTGTAGAGGAGGAAGGGATGTACAAATGGTGGAAGAGTGGGCGACGGCGCGACGGCGCATGCGCGCGCGTCAGCTGTCGAATGTTCGAGAAGCGGTGCGGACGGCGCGGACGGCGCGGACGGCGCACTACAAGGCGCGAGTATAAGATGCTTCCGCATCTAAAAGAAACAGAAAAGCCGCAGGCAACCCTAGTCCCTGAGTTAGGTGTCTGGCCCAGCTCTCACACGTCGTGTGCCCTGTTGCATTCGTTGGTTTAATCTAATGCTTCACCCCACATTCGAAACGGATCTCAGAGGTCACTTAGAAAGAAGGATATATGGATCTTCTCCGTCATCTGCCGCAGAGATACATGTACGTCGATGTCATATATGCTATTCTGTTGAACTACTCATAACTGTCGTTGCGTTGTTTCATATGAGCGCACCGTGAATTGCCACGAGGCTTCACACCACGCTGCATGTACAACAATGAGGTGGCTTCGGGGATGTCCACGCAAAACAGTTGTTCTCGTCCTGAGGATATGATATATATACGGACTATACTGCCTGAACAGAGAAATAATCCAAAAAACAAAATCACAGCATATCCACGAAGTGAATGATGCCGACTGGGCGAAGCTCTTGATTGATTTATATGTGGGGTTTAACGTCCCAAAACCACCATATGATTATGAGTGAGGCCATATATATTTCGCGTTGAACGAGGAGGTCTGTCTAAGGTGATGAAAAAGCAGTAAAATAAAGTAAAACCAATAACACTTGTTTCAGCAGATTCGCACGCGTGCGTAGGACTCACCAAATTACAAAAAAAAAAACGTTTCTTTACATTTTAATGAAACGCTGCATGTTCATTTGCTTTGTTCTGAGAACTATTGGTCTCATAAATTATTTATGTTTTGATTCTCTCACCAGCCACCTGTTTTTTTTTTCTGATTACCTACGGTGTGTCTGGGTACTTTGCTCCAACGTTGAAGAAATAATGATTATCATCATCGTTATCATTATGCGACTTCCCGGCAGAGCAGAAAAGGAACCGCAATCATCCCTACAAATTCTTCAAATTTTTTTCTTTTGGGGCCACTATACTGAGATACTGGCTCAGAGGTGTTTTCTTTGCCATTCAGGAATTTATCATTGAATATATAAAAACATCACTGTAATATTTTGCTGGCTTTATGTATTTAATTACCAATAATTAGCAAGCAAAACAGATATGTTATTTGAATGCGACATCTAGGAGTGTAAAGTACACTCCCTACTCTGCGAAAACTCTGCATTCGATATGACCCGTGGTCTGTAGACGACCACACGCAGCAACAACATCTGAGGTTGTGTTCCAATTCTTAGACAGCACGTAGACAGTCTACGAAGTCTGCTTAGAAGACAGCATCGAGTCGATGCTGTCCGAAAAATGGAACACATTTAGACGGCTTTTACGCGACAATGCGCCACCTCGCGTCGAGAAGAAAAAGCTAAACTGAACAAACGTAACAGTTGTATTTTCTGGCTTATGTCGTGTTGAAATCAAAAACAAATAAACGTTACTCACATTGAACTTCTGGAGAAGCATCAGCTTGTGTGCAGATGACCATACCGGCGAGATTTGATCTATCTGAGCGATTTGCTGAGCCGCCATCTTGTTTAGACAGCAAAGTAGCCTGCATCGTATTTGTCTACCATGCGGTCTTCTCGGAGCTGTGTATTTTTTTGGCTACGTGAGAATCGGAATGGGACTTAAGATGGTCGCCGTCCATTTAGCTGTCTATTTAGCCGTCTACGGTGAGTATTGGAACACAGCCTGAAGGTTAAGTTCACGATGTCTTGACCAGTTTATCTTGGTGAATATGTGCCATATTGCTGAGGAAACAAACAATCACGCACAGACTTGCGGCCAATCACTCGTGTGGGGATTTAACAATCATCCGCGGAGCATCATCATCATCAATCACGCGCCAAGCTCGTTCGACACGGGTGCACGTATCTCGCACTCTGACCGGCTTAGATGAAAATGGACGCCAACGCTCATCGCGAGAAGAAAGGCATCGTCACGAGCAACGAGCCGCGAACAGCTACCGTGGTGGATAGCCAGCATGACGTCGTCCTGACGCCACCCAGCCCGGCCGTGTCCACGTCGCTCGAAAGAGGCGACCGTAGACTGATGCCCGCTGTCGCTCTTCTCGCCACGTTCGCCGGCTTCGTGTGCTTGGCGACCATGGCGTACGCCTTCCTGCGACCGAAGCCTCTGGTGGCACAACCTGAATGCGACAGCGACGACTGCTTCCAGCACGCGTACATGCTCATCTTTGGCCTCAACCGAAGCACTGACCCGTGCGCCGACTTCGGCGAGTACGTGTGTTCTGCCTGGTTCACCACGTCCATCTATTCGTTCAACACGCAACAGGATCGCTGGTACAAATGGATCCAGGAGTCGGGTCGACTTTTGGGATCGCTGCGCATGCACCGCACGAACGAAGCCATAGCCAAAGCCATAGCGTTTTTCAATCTCTGCCTCAAGATCAGTGCGATCTCGTCGCCGGACAACGTAAGGCTTCTGCAGCAGTTTCTAAAGGAAAGAAAGATCGCGCCACCTGTTGGTGAATCAGCGATGCAGCCCCTAGCCCACCCGCTTGACGTCCTACTCGACTTGTCCATCAACTGGCAGATGCCATTCTGGTTCAACGTGCGTGTTCTCAGGACTAATGGCAGCGCGCTTGGAATCCTCGTGAGTCCTGGTCATTACGAGGTCTTCTGGGAGATAGCCGTGGAGAAGTTCATCACGGAACCCGATTTCGAAGAGCCTGGAGAAGTGACCAAAGCTGGCATCGCCAACGCTACGGGTGACTTTTTCGTGGACAGCGCTATATTGTCGGAGCTGAGAAAGGCCGTCATCAGCCCGCCAAAATCGCAGCCCGTGGCCGTCCGCATCAAGGAAATTTCCGGCCTCACACCAATCGTGACGTCCGGGCAGTGGCTCCAGTTTCTCAGGAAGCACCTGGAGCCCACTTTCGCTGTCACCGGTGAATCTCAGATATTGCTGCAAGACCAATCCTTGCTAGTTACCGTGAACAGACTGCTCGAAAAATACGAGCACAGTGACATCTTGGCGCACATTGGTCGACTAGTGAACCGAACTGTCGGAAACGTAATTACCAGGAAGATGCCGAGCCCGGCGTACGACGAATATGCCTCGATCTCGCCTCTGACGAACGTCAGCTACCCCTGCGAAGTCCTAGTCGAAGACACGTTCAGACTGCCGATCGCCGCACAACACATCGCGAAGAGGAAGCTGAACCTCCACCGTGCCGCCATCGATGACCTCATCGGTGATGTCATGAGAGCCACCATTTCGCTCGTGAGCGCCAGTGACTGGATGAGTGCCGATTCGAAGCATGAGGCTATCAAGAGAGTACAAGACACGGCCATTCATCTCTGGCCTCGCGAGCCAATAATTCACGACGAGGATGCGTTGAATAGCCTGTACGGGACCTTTCCATCTGGCGGTGATATCTACTTCGACCAGCTGCTGCTGGTTCGAAACGCAACGCGCGAGGCGCTGGGAACGCCAGCGTACGCGGATTTGCAGGGCATACCTCACGGCGGTCGGGATCCGTACATCACCTACGACACATTCAGCAATTCCATCAACTTGGCCGTGGGCGCTGTGCTTCCTCCGCTGTTTTACCCGAGCGCCACCAAGAGCATCAACTACGGGGGCATAGCATCTCTGCTTGCGCCCCTGGTCGTAGGCTTGCTCAACACATCCTCGGTGGCTGCTAACATGACTGGGTGGGCGGTGACCAATGGTGACCCGTTCCCGACGCGAGCCGCGTGCAGCGTCTCCGTAGAAAATCACGACGCTTACCCGGATGTCGCTGCCATCGAAGTCGCCTACAGGGCCTACCAGGACGCCCTCGAGCACGATGGCATGTCACACGACATTCGAATACGCTCGCTCGAGGAATTTTCGGCCGAGCAGATTTTCTTCATGACTCTCTGTTACAATACGTGTAGATTAGAGCGTGGCACTAAAACTTCCAAGGTTTGCAATGCACTGCGAGACTTCGAGCCGTTCGCCGCAGCATTCAAGTGTCCCAAAGGCTCGTTCATGAATCCGGAAAAGAAGTGCGGCTTTTTTCATTAGATGTACGCGCAGCACATTTCGGATGGCGTACACACGATAACAGGACTGCCGATCTGAATAAGCTTGCATAATTAAATGTGAACGGTCGTGTGCAACTTTACTCTGCAAGTTCTTCCAAATCTTGCATGATTTTTCGGAGTACATGCTATGTTGGTGAAAACAGGGTTTCTTTATTGTAGGCAAAAGCAACGCTAAAAGTTGAGAAAAAGAAAAAAAGCTACAAAAAGCGCTTCTAGCAACTGAATTTATTGAAACGAAAAAAAAAATGAAACGGGGTTTGGGAGAAGGATGACGTACAAAGGTGAGGACACTGAAGGCCAACTGCGCATGATCCTACGATGGTGCTGTCCATGCCATCAAACACGTGTATTTATCATACTCAATATATGCGTTTCTTTTTATTTCTTCTTCGTACCTGCTTTAAAAAGTTATCTCTACAAGTTATCAAGTTATCTTTTTATCCACTTTTCTTTATTCACATTTACATTACAATTACTTGTAATAACATTCTTTGTATTTTTTTCCTTCGAAAGGTGTCCCCTATGCAAATAATTTTCCTTGTCATTATTGTGTGCTCATTTATATTGCGAGTCTTGCGAATGCCGCTTGTTTGCCATTTTACAGTGAAAGTTGCCTTGAGATCAAAACAAGAGTCGTTTTTGGCGCCGTAGTTGCCGACGCTTGTGCCCGTAAGCACTGTAGTGCGAAATAAGCAAAAAAAAAAATTGCCCGCAGCTTCCCTCGGGGGAACACTGAGGAGGATGCGGACCATATAATTGGTTAACGGGGTGTTAAAGTGCGACTTACTTGGGTCGATGGCTAAATTGGTTAACGTGGTTGTGAAATGGGGTGTTAAATTGCGACTTACTTGGGTCGATGGCTAAATTGGTTAACGTGGTTGTAGGAGGGGGTGTTAAATGAGTGAACACGTACACACGTATGCGAAAGGGCGGCGCTGGTCGAAGGGACGTCGATCATTGTGTTTGTGGATTCGTTGGAATTCATTTCACCGCGACCTTGGACGTCGACGCGCCGTACAAACCAACCGACGAGCGGCAACTGAGCGAGCGAGCGCCGACCTTGAGTATATATACAGCACGACGGCGCATGCACTGTCAGCTGTTGAATGTTCTCGAAGCGCGACGCCACATGCGCGTCCACTGGAGAATCAGGAGAATTGTAGATGTCGAACGCGGTGTGTAGAGGAGGAAGAGTGCACAGATTGTGGAGGAGTGAAGCGCGCGCGGTGTGTAGAGGAGGAAGGGATGCACAGATGGTGGAAGAGTGGGCGACGGCGCGACGGCGCATGCGCGCGCGTCAGCTGTCGAATGTTCGAGAAGCGGTGCGGACGGCACGGACGGCGCGGACGGCGCACTACAAGGCGCGAGTATAAGATGCTCCGCATCTAAAAAAAAAATCAGCACATCCACGGAGGGAATGATGATTGGTGGGACAAAGCGTTTGTCAGTCCACCCGTGCTTTCGTCCGCTCATTCGTTCTTGTTTCTGTCCGTCCACGCGTCCATCCGTGCATCCGTCCATGCGTCCGTCCGTATGTCCATTCTTCCATCTGTCCAACCGTCTGTTTGCGCGTCTGTTCATGCCACCGTCCCCCTGTCTGTCTGTCTGTCTCTCCATCCGTCCCTCTGTCTGTCTGTACGTCTGTCAATCTGTAGTCTATCTGTATGTCCATCCGTCCGTCCGTCTATCTAGTGAACACACCAAGTACAGCCGTCTCACATCTTTTCATCATATATTCATCATATACAAGGTCGCCATCCTGCGGACATTCTAAGTACCAGTCTGTGGCGTATTTGTCAACGGTGGCTACATACACCATCGGAGGATGGACAGACCCACACCCTAAGGAGCTTCGCCCCTAAAAGGACAGACAGATGGACGGACGTATGGACGTATGGAAAGGGAGACGTATGGATCCCTTTCCAAAGGGATAGACGGAAGATAGGATGCACGGATGGAGGGACGGATGGATGGACGGATGGATGGATAAGTGGACGGTGTACGGACATGCATTGACGTGTGTGAAACGTGAATCGCGGTTGCAGCGCTGACTATCTAATCTTATAAATAGTACATACGTACTCCTAATTAATAGACGTCGATTGATTGATTAATTGATTGATATGGGGGGTTTAACGTCCCAAAACCACCATTAGGCTATGAGAGACGCCATAGTGAAGGGCTCCGGAAGTTTCGGCCACCTGGGGTTTTTTAACATGCACCCAAATCTTAGCACACGGGCCTACAACATTTCCACACCATTCGGAAATGCAGCCACCGTGGCCGGGATTCGAACCCGCGACTTGCGGGTCAGCAGCCGAGTACGTTAACCGCTAGACCACCGCGGTGAAGCTATTATATAGACGTCACGTAGGGCTAAATACAGTTGTAGTCAAGCGCCATCATTCGCTGAAGCTCATCTATCTAGCAGTGTCCAGTGCCGCATCCTCGCTGGCACAAGCGCTACATATCAGCTTACCGCTTCTGGTGTTGTTCATACCCATGTTGCTTGTTGGCTTCGTTACGCAACAGTAAACATGCGACTGTTCAACATATGTCTGTGCGTACGACATTTGTACATGTTTTCAACGTGATTTAGTAACGTATCGCTCAATGTAAATATTTCAACACAGTCACCTTCCCTCCTCATGCTTCGCATAACATCGATTCCCAAGGTATGTGGGATCTGCCGAATTTTTTGTTTTGCTAGATCTTTTTGCCAATGTACTTTATGCATGAGACATTAAATTTCCCCTTATAAAATTGCCAGATCCCACGTACAGTGGGAACCGATGATATGCGAAGCATGAATGAGAAATATGTCACTTTAAAATCAGCACAACTTTACGAGGTGGAGGTAAATGATGCCGTACATGGCTTCCATGTCATGATTATCATGTTTGGATGTGCCGTTTACCTTTGTCATCTAGTTAAGCCACGTGATGCCAAAGTTAGTATAAGTGATGATGATGATATGTGGGGTTTAACGTCCCAAAAGCACCATATGATTATGAGAAACGCTGTAGTGGCCGGCTCCGGAAATTTCGATCACCTGGGGTTCTTTAACGTGCACCCAAATCTGAGCACACGGGCCTACAACATTTCCGCCTCCATCGGAAATACAGCCGCTGCAGCCGGGATTCGAACCCACGACCTGCGAGTCAGCAGCCGAGTACATTCTCCACGAGCGCACCACGGCGGGGCAAACTTAGTTTATGTCGAGCTAGCGAAACGGCCGCTAGCACGCTATGAGCGTGGTACGTTGTCGTGTTCTTACATGACACGCGTGTCAGGAGTATTATGTTTGCACTGCAGTCATATATTTAGTCATCCATTGACGTCCCGTAACACCAAATTTGGTATATGTGGAGCTAGCAAAACGGCCCCGAGTGCATCAAGAAGCACCCAATATACTCCAATGTAGCGTTGACGCGCGCTCGCGCTGGGCACAGCGACGCTACGTTAGCAAAACGCGAGCACTCTATAGTCTGACGCCAGGCGCGACCAGCATCCGTCGGCGCGGCCCGATGGCAACAGGCGCGAAAAGCGACATACTGCATTTGGCGCCGATGCCGTAGAGAACAATACCCTATACCGATGCGTTACCCAGACAACACTGCGTCTCCCTCTTTTCGTGATGGAGGGACGCCAGACGCGCTGAAACGCGCATGCGTCAAAGCAACGCAGCACGGCGCGCGCCTGCGAGTATATGGCAGGATCGGCGCCTGGCGTGGCAACACCGGCGTGACGTGACGAAATGATTGATATGTGGGGTTTAAAGTCCCAAAACCACTATATGATTATGAGAGACGCCGTAGTGGAGGGCTCCGGAAATTTAGACCACCTGGGGTTCTTTAACGTGCACCCAAATCTGAGCACAGGGGCCTACAACATTTTCGCCTCCATCGGAAATGCAGCCGCCGCCGCCGGGATTCGAACCCGCGCCCTGCGGGTCAGCAGCCGAGTACCTTAGCCACTAGACCACCACGGCGGGGCGACGCGACGAAATGAACGCCGGCTAGCACGTGCACCGCATCATGTCGAAATATATTGGCGCCCTGACTGTGGCATGTAGTCATGTTCTCACATGACACGCATATCATTATTATGTTTGCACAAGTCACATACCTTCGTCATTCATTGGCGTCACGTAATACCAAATTTGGCATATGTGAAGCTAGCGAGACAGCCGCGAGCGCAACATGAGTGTGGCATGTAGTCATGTTGTTCCATGACACGCATCTCATCATTATCATGTTTGCCCCAGTCACATACCTTTGTCATCCATTCACGTACCGTAATATAAAATTTGGTATATGCGACGCTACCGAAACGGCCGCGAGCGCATCGGGCGTGGCATGTAGTCTTGTTACATGCCTCGCATGTCATGAATTTCATGTTAAGGTCTGTTGCTTGTGTTTGCCATAAAATCATGTCATACCATACCACTTTTGCAACATGTCATGTGAAAGAAACTACCGCAAGAGCTGCAGGACCATGAAATGTAAACCATGACATTAATGACACACATGTCACGATTTTCATGTTATGACTAGTCAAATAAGTTCTTCATAAAGTCTTGTTATGCCGTACCATGTTTGGTATCGATACCATTAGCCAAACGGCCAGGGGAGTTAAAAGTCGTAGGCGGCTTAGATAGATAGATAGATAGATAGATAGATAGATAGATAGATAGATAGATAGATAGATAGATAGATAGATAGATAGATAGATAGATAGATAGATAGATAGATAGATACGCTCAATGTCGCCGAAGTTGCTAAGAAATATTTCGCATTTAAAAACCCGATGTCAAAATCAAATCCAGCCCCTTTTAGCAGAATGAACAAGAAAGCTATGGTTCCTAGACTTATTCATCAAAGAGGGAGTGCCTGCGTGTTGGCATATTGCATGGGAGTACGAAGACTCATTGTAACTGCAGTGTATCTTCTTGTAGTTAACGCATATTCACCACAGTAC